TAATAGATATGTGAACAAGAGGGAAAGATATACGTATAAGATAACGTGCTGTCAACTTTGACCTTTGCTGATTATTTTAATTATAACTTTTTTAATAGACCTCCAAATGATGTGGTTCTTTTTTTATTAGAAACTAAAATCAAAAAGCTTTCCAATGATTACTAATTTGTAATTTTTGGACATCTGAGTAGATACAGTTATTCCTTAAAGTTAACGTTTTACATATTCCTGTTAACAATTTTAATAGAGGTTGGAGAAAAGACCGAAATGAAGAGGGATAGAGAAATGAAATTTGAGTTGAAAATGGAGGATGCACAAAGGGGTAATTTTGGAATCTCAAAAAGGTATATCTGCGTCTCTTTTCACCACAGTGACTGTAAAAAAAAATCCTAGAATCTAAGAAGAAGCTGACAGGTGACCGTTGTTAAATTGTTGTCAAATTTTAGTTGTTAACATGTCGCGATCTTATTTTAAACCATAGAAAATACTAAAAAAATTTCTGAACAACTGTCATGTGACATTTGACATTGATATTTCTGAGACTCGGTTTCCTTTGTTGTTCCAGTGTTTCTGAGATTGTGTTGCCGAGTTGCAGTAAGCCCCTCCTTGAATGATGGAGAAGACCCAGCATAGTGAGGTGGAAGTGAAGGGACTGAAGCTGCACGTGGTAGAGATTGGAACTGGTCTAATTCCTTCAAAACCCTCTTCGAATACTGTCTAATACTCATTTGCATCTTCTTCAAATTAATAATTTTTGTGTGTGAAGGGTCCAAGGCAGTGCTATTCTTACATGGATTCCCAGAGATCTGGTAGACATGGAGGCACCAGATGATTGCTGTGGCAAACGCTGGTTATAGAGCTATTGCCTTTGATTTCAGAGGGACTCTCTCAGCAACCTGCTGAACCAGAAAAGGAAACCATGTATGACCTAGTTCATGAAATAATGGGTCTTTTTGGATGCCTTAAACTTAACCAAGGTAAGAAAATATATGTGCCACCCATGTTTTAAGAATTTGTCAGTTTTGTGTGTGAAATAAACCATTGTGTAATGTATGGCTACAATTTCTATTTCTAAGTTGTGAACCTCAGTTTAAATCTTCAACAAGCAACCACAAAATAGACGAGGAAGTACAATATAAAACAGCGCAAACAAAAACTAGGAGTGGTTTGTTTCTTCTCGTAACTTGACCGTTTTGAGAATATGCATTAACTGTTGTAAGAAAGGTGACAACAATACGAAACAAGATGAATTTTCTGAAAAGTAGATGATCACTATAATTATAAGAACAAGAAACCTAGGATAAGAGAAGTGAGGAAAAGAGATGAGTGAGTGAAGATGTATGTTTTAGAGGAGAAAAAAAAAACTTTTTATAACAAGGGGAGGTTTGGTCCACACGGTCACAAGCTCCACGATCCCCTTGATGCACGAAGAAACCGTTGTCTGTGGAGGGGGAATCACCAAAGTGATAGCAACTCAGGGATGAAGCCCTCCACCACCCATGATAACATTCTCGTCAACCAACGATAATAGATATGCAACATTTTGGAGAAGGGGAAGTTGTTAGGACTTTTGCACGTTAAATAAGGAAATTATGAGATTTTTGTGTGTGGATTATTGAGGTCCTTTTGCAATATTATACTCTGTTTTTCATAACAATGTCCCTCATATCACAAAAAAACAGTAAAAAGAAAGAAGTAAAGATTAGCCGTATGTAAATAAAAAGAAAGAAGTAAAGATTAGACATATGTAAATAAAAAGAAAGAAGTAAAGATTAGACATATGTAAATAAAAAGAAAGAAGTAAAGATTAGACATAGGTTTCATATAGATGTAATACATAAAAAGCAAGTATAACAACAAATTATATTAATCAATTCTAGATTAAGAAACTTAAACACATGTAAACAAGATATATGAACCAATTACAATATAATCTAACAAATCCTTATGTTATTGTTGTGTTGTTTTTACTAGGTCATGTATATTACCTTATATTCATGAGTATTTAAAGATCTTGCCAAGATCTCATGTAAGTAGTCTTACTCGACACTCATATATATGATTTCATTAAATGTATACTCATACATCACTCGTAAAAGATACAAAAATCATTAAAAACTTTTTTAGAAGCTAAAATCTTTATATCACATAGAATTTTAACTACAAAGTTTAACTTTCAAGTGTTGTAGTATCTAGAACTTGTTCATACTATAGAGATGAACAAATTTGATTTAAAATAAATTTTAGTGCTAGTAGAACTACCAATTGATTTGTTTTTACCTATATGAACCTTATTTATACAATCTCCAATCACAAAGTTTGGTTTCCATAACTTATTTATTTGCAAGTGACTTGAGTTTCATTTTTCTTGATGTTTTTAAAATCCTGTTTCACTTTAGGGTTTTATCAAATGATCTACTAGATTTTTTCCTTACTTAACATAGTCAATGAAGATTGTTCCACACTTTAATATCTTTATCAAATTATATTTTAATTGTATATGTTTATTATTTCCATTGTAACTTTTTGCTTTTAGTTATGACAATCACGATGTATTGATATACATGAGGTTTGTTTCATTCTTACTAAAATGTTTGTTAAAATATTTTTCGACCACTCAACTTCACTTCGAGCCATTTCAAAAGCAAAAAACTCTAATTTCATTGTTGATCTTGCAATAATTTTTTGCTTACCTGATTTTCATGTAATTGTATTACCCCCAAGTGTAAACACATAACATTAGTGAACTTTGTCTCTTTTGAATTAGAGATTTGGTTAGCAACCATGCCCATTTAATAAATTGGAAATCCACTATATTCAGTGGCATAATCAATTGTATCTCTTAGGTATGTCATGAGTTTTGTAAATGCATCCCAATGATCTTGATTAGGACATTGAGTGTTCCTACTTGGTCTACTTAGTGCATAAGCAATGTCTAGTCTAGGAAATTTCATTAAATGTAATAAGCTCCCAATTATTTGGTCATACTAAGGTTGAAAAATGTATTTTTCCATTATTTTTCTTTAATTTAGAATTAACATAATAAGAGGTGTTTACTAGTTTGAAGTCATGATAGTCAAACTTCCTAAGTTTCTTAGTATATATTGCTTTTGAGATAGTAATATAGTATCTCTCTTTCTTATGACTCTAACTCCTAAAATCACATTTTCTTCACTCATGTCTTTCATTTTAAACTTAGACCTCAAAACAAACTTTGTTCTAGGAAATGTATCATTACATGTAAAAAAAAATTAACATGTCATCCACATATAAATATATAATAATACATTTGCCATTTTCAAATTTATTGTACACACAATTAGCAATATTATTAGTTGAAAAATCATCACAAAGTAAAGCATTCTCAAGTTTTTCATGTCATTGTTTTAGTATTTATTTCAGTCTATATAAAGATTTTAAAAGTCTGCATACTTTGTTTTTTTACTAGGAACTACATATCCTTAAGGTCGAGTCATATAAATTTCCTCTTCTAGTTTGTCATTCGAAAAGACTATCTTAATATCCTTTTGATGAATAACTAATTTATGGATAAATCTTAAAGCTAGTAATATTTAATAGAGGAAATCTTAGTCATTAGGCAAAAATATCGTAGTAATATATGTTGGGTTTTTGAGTAAAATCTTTTTATTAAGATTGCCTTATATTTTTCTACATATCCATCATGATGACACTTTTGTCTTGAAGATCTACTTACAGCTAAGGATGATAACGGATCATGTTAGACACGGATAATGCTTACCCAATTCACAATAAAAAAAATTCACCCATTACTTGTCCGGTTACAGTATTTTAAAACCTATAGATATTTAAAAAAATATATTTTATAAATATTTAAAATAAAATCTAAGTAAAATTATAAAAAATATATAAAATATAATATAAATTAAATTAAATATAAATATAAATTTAATTTTAATTAAATTTAGCCTAATAAAGTATAAATTAGTTTTAATTTTAATTAAATTTAACCTAATAAAGTATAAAATAGTTTAAATTTTAATTAAATTTAAGTTAATAAAATATAAATTAAATTTTAATTTTAATTTTTTGTGGATAATGGGTACAACAAATATGGGTAGTATGGTACCGCACTCAATCCTTTTATAAGCAAGTATTAAAATATATACTATCCACGGATAATAAATATTTGTGGGTACCAACCATTCGTCGTGGATATTATTCGCGAATATTTACGGATACAAGTATTTTTTATCATCTTTACTTAAAACCATTGAATTTTGACCTTCAGGAAAATATACAAAAACGGAGGTATAACATCTCTTAATTGAATTAATTTCAGTCCTAATAGCCTTATCCAAATGTTTTGCATCACTAACACTAATAACTTATAAAAATTGTTGGATCATTTTCAACTAGATAAATGTAAAACTCATTTTCAAATAAAGTTTTTTTTTTTTGTCTTTTACTTCTTCTCAAATCCTTACACGTGACATCATCATTAATATATAAAAACATGTTCAAAAACTTTCACATTTTTTGTTTCTACTATAATATAATGTTGGAATACATCACATCTAAGAAAATGAAAACTATAGATAGCAAGGTGATTTGTATAGCCTAAAAATACATTCAGAAACTTTAAAACCTATTTTTCTTTGTTTAGGATGAGATAACATTTCAGCTAGACATCTCCATATTCTTGGATATGTAAGATTAGGCTGAAATGTGTGATATCCTATTTTATTTTTAAAAAAAAGTACTTCTCCTAAAATATGAGTTTGGTGATTATTATCCTTAAAAATTTATCTCCAATGTGATATGCAAACTTCCTAGTATATAATAAGAATTTCGAGGAACTCGAAATTAGTAACAAACTCTAAAAACCCAAGATTAGAAAAAGTGAGAAGTGAGAAAAAGATAAGACTGAGCGAAGGTGTGTGATTTGGAGGAGAGGAATATGTATAAGGAGGAGAGAGGCTTGTTCCACACAGTGACAAGCTCCGCAGTCTCCTTAATCCATGGAAGAACCATGTTTAGAGAAGGCGTCGCCCAAGTGATAGCAACACTCTCCACAACCTACAACAACAGATCTGCCACATTCCGGAGAAGAACAAGGAGAAATCACTAGGATTTTACGTGTCAAAGAAGAAAATGTTGCTGAGATTTTGCACGCAGATTATTGAGATCATTTTACAATAGTATACTCTGTTTTCACAAAATTAACTTGGTTTAAGGCCGGTGACTGAGGATAGGAAAATAAAATAAAAAAGAGAGAACCTCACTTGGTTGAAAAGGCTAACTGGTTTTTTATTATTTTTTTGTACTTAATGGGACTTCTATTATTTAGAATCAAACCAACCACCTCACCATATTGGTTTATTTGGAGTGAAACAGTACCTCCATCCTTTTTATGACTTCATGTCCCTGATATTGAAGGAAAAAAGATTAACTAATTGCATGCGCTGTTACGATTGTTTATATCATCAGGCTTTCCTTGTTGCACCCAGAAAGATTTGGTGCTGTAATAACTTTAGGCATTCCTCCTGGTCCCTATGCTATCAAAAACCACCTTCTCCCCAAAGGCTTCTACGTTACTAGGTGGCAGGTACAAATTCAATATGGCATCATAGTTTTATATTCCTTCCAATTTTAAATATTAGTTATTAGTCACTGACGAATTTCGATTTACAGGAGCCTGGGAGAGCAGAAGCAGATTTTGGCCGGTTTCCTGTGAAATCGGTGATAAGGAACATCTACACTCTCTTCTCTAAAAGTGAGGTTCCAGTAGCAGCTGATGATCAAGAAATCATGGACTTGTTCAACCCATCTACTCCTCTACCACCATGGTTCTCTGAGGAAGACCTTGCAACCTATGCATCTTTATATCAAAAATCTGGATTCAGATATGCATTGCAGGTTCCTTACAGGTAAACAGAACAGATTCCCATTTTCCTTCCTTCTTTCAAAACTGCAGAGGTGTAATTCATTGTAAAGTGAAACTGTAATGCTACTCCAGATAACCTTAGAAACATAAAATGTTATTTATAAANTAAAAAGAAAGAAGTAAAGATTAGACATATGTAAATAAAAAGAAAGAAGTAAAGATTAGACATATGTAAATAAAAAGAAAGAAGTAAAGATTAGACATAGGTTTCATATAGATGTAATACATAAAAAGCAAGTATAACAACAAATTATATTAATCAATTCTAGATTAAGAAACTTAAACACATGTAAACAAGATATATGAACCAATTACAATATAATCTAACAAATCCTTATGTTATTGTTGTGTTGTTTTTACTAGGTCATGTATATTACCTTATATTCATGAGTATTTAAAGATCTTGCCAAGATCTCATGTAAGTAGTCTTACTCGACACTCATATATATGATTTCATTAAATGTATACTCATACATCACTCGTAAAAGATACAAAAATCATTAAAAACTTTTTTAGAAGCTAAAATCTTTATATCACATAGAATTTTAACTACAAAGTTTAACTTTCAAGTGTTGTAGTATCTAGAACTTGTTCATACTATAGAGATGAACAAATTTGATTTAAAATAAATTTTAGTGCTAGTAGAACTACCAATTGATTTGTTTTTACCTATATGAACCTTATTTATACAATCTCCAATCACAAAGTTTGGTTTCCATAACTTATTTATTTGCAAGTGACTTGAGTTTCATTTTTCTTGATGTTTTTAAAATCCTGTTTCACTTTAGGGTTTTATCAAATGATCTACTAGATTTTTTCCTTACTTAACATAGTCAATGAAGATTGTTCCACACTTTAATATCTTTATCAAATTATATTTTAATTGTATATGTTTATTATTTCCATTGTAACTTTTTGCTTTTAGTTATGACAATCACGATGTATTGATATACATGAGGTTTGTTTCATTCTTACTAAAATGTTTGTTAAAATATTTTTCGACCACTCAACTTCACTTCGAGCCATTTCAAAAGCAAAAAACTCTAATTTCATTGTTGATCTTGCAATAATTTTTTGCTTACCTGATTTTCATGTAATTGTATTACCCCCAAGTGTAAACACATAACATTAGTGAACTTTGTCTCTTTTGAATTAGAGATTTGGTTAGCAACCATGCCCATTTAATAAATTGGAAATCCACTATATTCAGTGGCATAATCAATTGTATCTCTTAGGTATGTCATGAGTTTTGTAAATGCATCCCAATGATCTTGATTAGGACATTGAGTGTTCCTACTTGGTCTACTTAGTGCATAAGCAATGTCTAGTCTAGGAAATTTCATTAAATGTAATAAGCTCCCAATTATTTGGTCATACTAAGGTTGAAAAATGTATTTTTCCATTATTTTTCTTTAATTTAGAATTAACATAATAAGAGGTGTTTACTAGTTTGAAGTCATGATAGTCAAACTTCCTAAGTTTCTTAGTATATATTGCTTTTGAGATAGTAATATAGTATCTCTCTTTCTTATGACTCTAACTCCTAAAATCACATTTTCTTCACTCATGTCTTTCATTTTAAACTTAGACCTCAAAACAAACTTTGTTCTAGGAAATGTATCATTACATGTAAAAAAAAATTAACATGTCATCCACATATAAATATATAATAATACATTTGCCATTTTCAAATTTATTGTACACACAATTAGCAATATTATTAGTTGAAAAATCATCACAAAGTAAAGCATTCTCAAGTTTTTCATGTCATTGTTTTAGTATTTATTTCAGTCTATATAAAGATTTTAAAAGTCTGCATACTTTGTTTTTTTACTAGGAACTACATATCCTTAAGGTCGAGTCATATAAATTTCCTCTTCTAGTTTGTCATTCGAAAAGACTATCTTAATATCCTTTTGATGAATAACTAATTTATGGATAAATCTTAAAGCTAGTAATATTTAATAGAGGAAATCTTAGTCATTAGGCAAAAATATCGTAGTAATATATGTTGGGTTTTTGAGTAAAATCTTTTTATTAAGATTGCCTTATATTTTTCTACATATCCATCATGATGACACTTTTGTCTTGAAGATCTACTTACAGCTAAGGATGATAACGGATCATGTTAGACACGGATAATGCTTACCCAATTCACAATAAAAAAAATTCACCCATTACTTGTCCGGTTACAGTATTTTAAAACCTATAGATATTTAAAAAAATATATTTTATAAATATTTAAAATAAAATCTAAGTAAAATTATAAAAAATATATAAAATATAATATAAATTAAATTAAATATAAATATAAATTTAATTTTAATTAAATTTAGCCTAATAAAGTATAAATTAGTTTTAATTTTAATTAAATTTAACCTAATAAAGTATAAAATAGTTTAAATTTTAATTAAATTTAAGTTAATAAAATATAAATTAAATTTTAATTTTAATTTTTTGTGGATAATGGGTACAACAAATATGGGTAGTATGGTACCGCACTCAATCCTTTTATAAGCAAGTATTAAAATATATACTATCCACGGATAATAAATATTTGTGGGTACCAACCATTCGTCGTGGATATTATTCGCGAATATTTACGGATACAAGTATTTTTTATCATCTTTACTTAAAACCATTGAATTTTGACCTTCAGGAAAATATACAAAAACGGAGGTATAACATCTCTTAATTGAATTAATTTCAGTCCTAATAGCCTTATCCAAATGTTTTGCATCACTAACACTAATAACTTATAAAAATTGTTGGATCATTTTCAACTAGATAAATGTAAAACTCATTTTCAAATAAAGTTTTTTTTTTTTGTCTTTTACTTCTTCTCAAATCCTTACACGTGACATCATCATTAATATATAAAAACATGTTCAAAAACTTTCACATTTTTTGTTTCTACTATAATATAATGTTGGAATACATCACATCTAAGAAAATGAAAACTATAGATAGCAAGGTGATTTGTATAGCCTAAAAATACATTCAGAAACTTTAAAACCTATTTTTCTTTGTTTAGGATGAGATAACATTTCAGCTAGACATCTCCATATTCTTGGATATGTAAGATTAGGCTGAAATGTGTGATATCCTATTTTATTTTTAAAAAAAAGTACTTCTCCTAAAATATGAGTTTGGTGATTATTATCCTTAAAAATTTATCTCCAATGTGATATGCAAACTTCCTAGTATATAATAAGAATTTCGAGGAACTCGAAATTAGTAACAAACTCTAAAAACCCAAGATTAGAAAAAGTGAGAAGTGAGAAAAAGATAAGACTGAGCGAAGGTGTGTGATTTGGAGGAGAGGAATATGTATAAGGAGGAGAGAGGCTTGTTCCACACAGTGACAAGCTCCGCAGTCTCCTTAATCCATGGAAGAACCATGTTTAGAGAAGGCTTCGCCCAAGTGATAGCAACACTCTCCACAACCTACAACAACAGATCTGCCACATTCCGGAGAAGAACAAGGAGAAATCACTAGGATTTTACGTGTCAAAGAAGAAAATGTTGCTGAGATTTTGCACGCAGATTATTGAGATCATTTTACAATAGTATACTCTGTTTTCACAAAATTAACTTGGTTTAAGGCCGGTGACTGAGGATAGGAAAATAAAATAAAAAAGAGAGAACCTCACTTGGTTGAAAAGGCTAACTGGTTTTTTATTATTTTTTTGTACTTAATGGGACTTCTATTATTTAGAATCAAACCAACCACCTCACCATATTGGTTTATTTGGAGTGAAACAGTACCTCCATCCTTTTTATGACTTCATGTCCCTGATATTGAAGGAAAAAAGATTAACTAATTGCATGCGCTGTTACGATTGTTTATATCATCAGGCTTTCCTTGTTGCACCCAGAAAGATTTGGTGCTGTAATAACTTTAGGCATTCCTCCTGGTCCCTATGCTATCAAAAACCACCTTCTCCCCAAAGGCTTCTACGTTACTAGGTGGCAGGTACAAATTCAATATGGCATCATAGTTTTATATTCCTTCCAATTTTAAATATTAGTTATTAGTCACTGACGAATTTCGATTTACAGGAGCCTGGGAGAGCAGAAGCAGATTTTGGCCGGTTTCCTGTGAAATCGGTGATAAGGAACATCTACACTCTCTTCTCTAAAAGTGAGGTTCCAGTAGCAGCTGATGATCAAGAAATCATGGACTTGTTCAACCCATCTACTCCTCTACCACCATGGTTCTCTGAGGAAGACCTTGCAACCTATGCATCTTTATATCAAAAATCTGGATTCAGATATGCATTGCAGGTTCCTTACAGGTAAACAGAACAGATTCCCATTTTCCTTCCTTCTTTCAAAACTGCAGAGGTGTAATTCATTGTAAAGTGAAACTGTAATGCTACTCCAGATAACCTTAGAAACATAAAATGTTATTTATAAACATCAGATTTCAATAACATTGCATTTGGACAATTTTATTGCAGGAGTCTCAAGGTGGGAACTGGCTTAGGTGAAGTGAAGGTTACAAATCCAACTCTTCTCATCATGGGTGAGAAAGATTATGTTTTCAAAGTTTCCAGGCACGGAGGACTATATCCGAAGTGGGGCAGCGAAAAATGTTGCGCCGGACTTGGAAATCACATATATTCCGGAAGGAAGCCATTTTGTGCATGAACAAGTTCCAGACAAGGTGAACCAGCTCATCATTGAGTTCACTGACAAACAAAGTATCTAAATCTGTTATGCGGCCAAAAGGATGTTTCCATTAAGATCTGTGTAATTTCTAGTCTGCTTAATCCAACGCACGCTGTAATATCTGGCTCTGATACCTCCAGTTCATGAAGAAGGGGGTATACGTTGTAATAAAGTCTGGAACTTCATATCAAACTAAAATCTGCAATTTGTGATGGTTTATGATATAAAGAGATAATAAAGAACTTAGTGTCATATATATCGTTTAAGGCCCATCCTAAACTTATTAACCTCTGGAAACACTTGAGTAGGCTTGCAAAACTTTACCAGTACCACAAATGACAGAATATGAAGAAAATTCAAAAATAAAGGAAAAAAACACATCTGATAGTAAGATATAATACTCATCTGAAATAGTCATATTCTGCTATGTAATGAACAACAAAATTAGACATCTAAATGTCACACTCTGTTACAGAGATTGTAAAATCATGAATGGAGCGTCGTTGCTATACAACTTTTTTGTTAACTAAACTATCATGTGATGTTCATATTCGACAGTTCATTGTGTTCCTTTTACTTTCATCCATTTCCTCACCCTCTGGGACATCTTTCCTTTGATGTTTCACTGTGTTTCTCAGACAGTGCTGTTGACTTGCAGTATGCCCCTCCTTTTATGATGGAGAAGATCCAGCACAGTGAGTGGAAGTGAAGGGACTGAAGCTGTACGTGGCAGTGATTGTAACTGGTAAGCTAATGCCTTCAGCACCCTCTTCGAATACTGTCTAATACTCATTTGCATCTTCTTCATATTAATCATTTTTGTGTTTGTGAAGGCTCCAAGCCAGTGTTGTATTCTTACACGGATCCCTAGAGATCTGGTACACATGGAGGAACCAGATGATTGCTGTGGCAAACGCTGGTTTAGGGCTATCACTTTTGATTTTAGAGGCTATGACTCTCTGAGCAACCAGTGGAGCCAGAAAAGGAAACCATGTATGACCTATTTGATGAGATGGTCGGTCTTTTGGATGATGCCTCAGACATCATCAAGGTAAGGACCTAACCTAGATGTGCTACACGTTAAGACTTTGTTTAATAGAATTGGAAAGTTATGGAAAGGAAATTACAGGGAATACACATTTTTATTAATAAAAATAAATTCTTTTTTATCATTCACATGAAAAAAAAAAATAAGAGGAAAGAAATATAATTTTGAACCACAGTAAAATTTGAACCCCTAAAATGCCATTTTCCCTCCCTCTTTCTCACTTTGTGTTAAAATTAATTTGTTTCCCTATCTTGAGAACATTTTTAAAGGAAGAGCATCAACATATTTTCCTCTCATCAATACAAAACAGAAGGATAAAAGAAACAAAAAGCGCTGTCTCATTTAAGCAAGTCAATAAACTTTAGTCCACACCAATAGAAGTGTAATAAGCTGAATTCAAGACCAGTTCAGAGAAAATGCAAAAAGCATTTTACTTTAGCAACAATAAAATTTGAACCCATAAAATTGACACTTCTACTGAATCTAATCATTTCCACGAATTTTCTAAGCAGGAATGACAGTTTCTACAATTATTACAAGAATCTCATGAGGAAGCATCAGAAGCAGCTATAGTGAATGCTATATATACTACTACTACTTTCTGCGCTTCAGGGGTCCAGTCTTATAGCCACCCTTGGTTGGCTTGCCCCAAGGAGTGCGAGATCCTTTTCCCCATTTTCCACTACTCTTGCTTTTACCCTCTCCTCCCCCATGAGGATGATCTACGGGATTCATAGCCACTCCTCGAACAACAGGTCTTCGACCAAGCCATCGGCTGTGTCCGGCATTCCTAAGCTTGCGATCCCCATGGCTTGGATTAGACACAACACCAATGGTGGCCCTACACCGAGAATCAATTAACTTTTTAACACCAGAGGGCATCTGGATTAAACAGTATGCTGATGTGGGCTCTTTCAAGATCTTTGCACTAGTTCCTGCAGCTCGGACAAGCTTGCCACCTTGCCCTGGGTTCAATTCAATGTTGTGAATGATTGTTCCAATTCGCATTGCAGACAGTGGCATGCAACTCCCAATTCGTGAGTTTATGTCAGAATACATCATTTGATTCACTATACTCTCTGGCGTTCTTTGAGCACTGGTGTTTGTCACCTCTGTGAAAAGGCAGATATACATGTAACTAAACTCCAGCGAAAGAAACAACAAGGGCAGCATAGAAGCCATAATTTCCATTTTGGATAGCATTTAGCCCATAGACAAAGTAAAATGTTCAGATTTTTCACCCCATGTTCCGTTTTCTTTAATTTTAAAACGTAACCCATATGAATTTTCTTTGGTTCCTCTTCTAACAAGTGTACCTAATGCTACCTAAAACAACATTATTTTGCAGTAGAGCATGAACAAGGCTATTACTTTACTTGACAGTGTTTATATATGATGATTTCTTAAGCCGCCTTTAAACAGCATTGAAAACAATACGGCTTTATTAGTATAAGGCTAGGGTGTAAAGCAATCTAAGTAATTTGTGCAAAGCTATGTAACTAAACTGAAGAGCAGTCACAAACCCAAAGCAAGGGAGATTTTTTCCAATATTTTCCCCATCTTGCTACATTTGTACAAATACTACGAACCTAATGTTCTTGTCGCTGAGAATTAAAGGAGAAACGAATGTACCAGTAGAGAATCGGCGAAGAGTATTGGCAAACAAATTCAGTGATGAAGCAGTGCGACTTCTGCACAGTGACACGGCCATTTCAAAAATGCAGTTCCTACAAATTCAGTGCCCATTTGTTTAAGCTTACAAATATTGATTGTCAATCATGTAAAGCAAAATTGACATTTATAAAGGTTTTATGTTAAGCAGGAGTTTAATGGCAAAAAAAAAACTTATCTTGAAAAGTGATTTTACAAGGATATCATTTCTCAAGAAACAAGTTTGGATTAAAAAATGTGTTCTTTTGGTTCAGTTGTGTAATGAAAAGCAGTTGGCATACTATAGCACCGTACTACCAAAACCTCGAATATCAAATAAAATGGGGAATTTCAGGTGAACAAGAAGATACAAAAGCTATATACCAATAATCCAGTATAGACAATTTTCAGTTTCATCAGATAATATCTAAGATGTCACATTAGAGAAAAAGCTCTACATGTACAACGAAAAAGGTTTTCAAACACAGGAATTTGGCAAACACGTGCAATGAGTGGGAATAGAGTGGGCTTCACGAGCTTACCTGGAAAGGAGGCGATAGAAATTTGTGACCAAGAAGAATGGCGAACCAGCTGTGTCAATCTAGGTTTTTTCTATTGGGGAAGATGAAGAACTTTTACGGGGCTCCGTCTGCCTCTGTATCGACCCGGTCCGAACCGAAGTTCTTGTCTTGTCTCTAACAATTTTTTTAGGGATTAAAGTAGAGTTAATTATAGAAAATTAAAAAATGTTATGAAAAATTATAAAAAATAAAATGTTATGAAAAATTATAAAAAAATAAACGATATATTCCTAGGAGTTCTCTAATTTTAGATTTATAAGATTACAAAAGGGGGGGGTTACTAGGTGGCAGGTACAAATTCAATATGGCATCATAGTTTTATATTCCTTCCAATTTTAAATATTAGTTAGTAGTCACTGACGAATTTCGATTTACAGGAGCCTGGGAGAGCAGAAGCAGATTTTGGCCGGTTTCCTGTGAAATCGGTGATAAGGAACATCTACACTCTCTTCTCTAAAAGTGAGGTTCCAGTAGCAGCTGATGATCAAGAAATCATGGACTTGTTCAACCCATCTACTCCTCTACCACCATGGTTCTCTGAGGAAGACCTTGCAACCTATGCATCTTTATATCAAAAATCTGGATTCAGATATGCATTGCAGGTTCCTTACAGGTAAACAGAACAGATTCCCATTTTCCTTCCTTCTTTCAAAACTGCAGAGGTGTAATTCATTGTAAAGTGAAACTGTAATGCTACTCCAGATAACCTTAGAAACATAAAATGTTATTTATAAACATCAGATTTCAATAACATTGCATTTGGACAATTTTATTGCAGGAGTCTCAAGGTGGGAACTGGCTTAGGTGAAGTGAAGGTTACAAATCCAACTCTTCTCATCATGGGTGAGAAAGATTATGTTTTCAAAGTTTCCAGGCACGGAGGACTATATCCGAAGTGGGGCAGCGAAAAATGTTGCGCCGGACTTGGAAATCACATATATTCCGGAAGGAAGCCATTTTGTGCATGAACAAGTTCCAGACAAGGTGAACCAGCTCATCATTGAGTTCACTGACAAACAAAGTATCTAAATCTGTTATGCGGCCAAAAGGATGTTTCCATTAAGATCTGTGTAATTTCTAGTCTGCTTAATCCAACGCACGCTGTAATATCTGGCTCTGATACCTCCAGTTCATGAAGAAGGGGGTATACGTTGTAATAAAGTCTGGAACTTCATATCAAACTAAAATCTGCAATTTGTGATGGTTTATGATATAAAGAGATAATAAAGAACTTAGTGTCATATATATCGTTTAAGGCCCATCCTAAACTTATTAACCTCTGGAAACACTTGAGTAGGCTTGCAAAACTTTACCAGTACCACAAATGACAGAATATGAAGAAAATTCAAAAATAAAGGAAAAAAACACATCTGATAGTAAGATATAATACTCATCTGAAATAGTCATATTCTGCTATGTAATGAACAACAAAATTAGACATCTAAATGTCACACTCTGTTACAGAGATTGTAAAATCATGAATGGAGCGTCGTTGCTATACAACTTTTTTGTTAACTAAACTATCATGTGATGTTCATATTCGACAGTTCATTGTGTTCCTTTTACTTTCATCCATTTCCTCACCCTCTGGGACATCTTTCCTTTGATGTTTCACTGTGTTTCTCAGACAGTGCTGTTGACTTGCAGTATGCCCCTCCTTTTATGATGGAGAAGATCCAGCACAGTGAGTGGAAGTGAAGGGACTGAAGCTGTACGTGGCAGTGATTGTAACTGGTAAGCTAATGCCTTCAGCACCCTCTTCGAATACTGTCTAATACTCATTTGCATCTTCTTCATATTAATCATTTTTGTGTTTGTGAAGGCTCCAAGCCAGTGTTTTATTCTTACACGGATCCCTAGAGATCTGGTACACATGGAGGAACCAGATGATTGCTGTGGCAAACGCTGGTTTAGGGCTATCACTTTTGATTTTAGAGGCTATGACTCTCTGAGCAACCAGTGGAGCCAGAAAAGGAAACCATGTATGACCTATTTGATGAGATGGTCGGTCTTTTGGATGATGCCTCAGACATCATCAAGGTAAGGACCTAACCTAGATGTGCTACACGTTAAGACTTTGTTTAATAGAATTGGAAAGTTATGGAAAGGAAATTACAGGGAATACACATTTTTATTAATAAAAATAAATTCTTTTTTATCATTCACATGAAAAAAAAAAATAAGAGGAAAGAAATATAATTTTGAACCACAGTAAAATTTGAACCCCTAAAATGCCATTTTCCCTCCCTCTTTCTCACTTTGTGTTAAAATTAATTTGTTTCCCTATCTTGAGAACATTTTTAAAGGAAGAGCATCAACATATTTTCCTCTCATCAATACAAAACAGAAGGATAAAAGAAACAAAAAGCGCTGTCTCATTTAAGCAAGTCAATAAACTTTAGTCCACACCAATAGAAGTGTAATAAGCTGAATTCAAGACCAGTTCAGAGAAAATGCAAAAAGCATTTTACTTTAGCAACAATAAAATTTGAACCCATAAAATTGACACTTCTACTGAATCTAATCATTTCCACGAATTTTCTAAGCAGGAATGACAGTTTCTACAATTATTACAAGAATCTCATGAGGAAGCATCAGAAGCAGCTATAGTGAATGCTATATATACTACTACTACTTTCTGCGCTTCAGGGGTCCAGTCTTATAGCCACCCTTGGTTGGCTTGCCCCAAGGAGTGCGAGATCCTTTTCCCCATTTTCCACTACTCTTGCTTTTACCCTCTCCTCCCCCATGAGGATGATCTACGGGATTCATAGCCACTCCTCGAACAACAGGTCTTCGACCAAGCCATCGGCTGTGTCCGGCATTCCTAAGCTTGCGATCCCCATGGCTTGGATTAGACACAACACCAATGGTGGCCCTACACCGAGAATCAATTAACTTTTTAACACCAGAGGGCATCTGGATTAAACAGTATGCTGATGTGGGCTCTTTCAAGATCTTTGCACTAGTTCCTGCAGCTCGGACAAGCTTGCCACCTTGCCCTGGGTTCAATTCAATGTTGTGAATGATTGTTCCAATTCGCATTGCAGACAGTGGCATGCAACTCCCAATTCGTGAGTTTATGTCAGAATACATCATTTGATTCACTATACTCTCTGGCGTTCTTTGAGCACTGGTGTTTGTCACCTCTGTGAAAAGGCAGATATACATGTAACTAAACTCCAGCGAAAGAAACAACAAGGGCAGCATAGAAGCCATAATTTCCATTTTGGATAGCATTTAGCCCATAGACAAAGTAAAATGTTCAGATTTTTCACCCCATGTTCCGTTTTCTTTAATTTTAAAACGTAACCCATATGAATTTTCTTTGGTTCCTCTTCTAACAAGTGTACCTAATGCTACCTAAAACAACATTATTTTGCAGTAGAGCATGAACAAGGCTATTACTTTACTTGACAGTGTTTATATATGATGATTTCTTAAGCCGCCTTTAAACAGCATTGAAAACAATACGGCTTTATTAGTATAAGGCTAGGGTGTAAAGCAATCTAAGTAATTTGTGCAAAGCTATGTAACTAAACTGAAGAGCAGTCACAAACCCAAAGCAAGGGAGATTTTTTCCAATATTTTCCCCATCTTGCTTCATTTGTACAAATACTACGAACCTAATGTTCTTGTCGCTGAGAATTAAAGGAGAAACGAATGTACCAGTAGAGAATCGGCGAAGAGTATTGGCAAACAAATTCAGTGATGAAGCAGTGCGACTTCTGCACAGTGACACGGCCATTTCAAAAATGCAGTTCCTACAAATTCAGTGCCCATTTGTTTAAGCTTACAAATATTGATTGTCAATCATGTAAAGCAAAATTGACATTTATAAAGGTTTTATGTTAAGCAGGAGTTTAATGGCAAAAAAAAAACTTATCTTGAAAAGTGATTTTACAAGGATATCATTTCTCAAGAAACAAGTTTGGATTAAAAAATGTGTTCTTTTGGTTCAGTTGTGTAATGAAAAGCAGTTGGCATACTATAGCACCGTACTACCAAAACCTCGAATATCAAATAAAATGGGGAATTTCAGGTGAACAAGAAGATACAAAAGCTATATACCAATAATCCAGTATAGACAATTTTCAGTTTCATCAGATAATATCTAAGATGTCACATTAGAGAAAAAGCTCTACATGTACAACGAAAAAGGTTTTCAAACACAGGAATTTGGCAAACACGTGCAATGAGTGGGAATAGAGTGGGCTTCACGAGCTTACCTGGAAAGGAGGCGATAGAAATTTGTGACCAAGAAGAATGGCGAACCAGCTGTGTCAATCTAGGTTTTTTCTATTGGGGAAGATGAAGAACTTTTACGGGGCTCCGTCTGCCTCTGTATCGACCCGGTCCGAACCGAAGTTCTTGTCTTGTCTCTAACAATTTTTTTAGGGATTAAAGTAGAGTTAATTATAGAAAATTAAAAAATGTTATGAAAAATTATAAAAAATAAAATGTTATGAAAAATTATAAAAAAATAAACGATATATTCCTAGGAGTTCTCTAATTTTAGATTTATAAGATTACAAAAGGGGGGG